CTCTTTGAGCTCCTCCTCAGCATCAGTGTCCTAAATGAAAAAGTACACAAAACTGAACTTAGTGTTTGGTTATTTATATAATGAAAGGTATATGAAGCTTTCCAACACATGCAAATATAAACAAATTAGAACTCATTGGTATGTATAATAGCAATGAATGATAAATAAGGAACATAACTTACTTTCACTTTCTTGGCCATCAAGCTCAAGAACTCATCAAATTCAATGGTTCCATTGCCATCTGCGTCAACTTCACTTATCATATCTTGGAGCTCTTCTTCAGTTGGATTCTGATCCAATGACCGAATGACAGTGGCTAGTTCTTCCACAGTAATGCAACCTATAAGAAGATGCACACAATTTATAAACATAGTATTGATAAGAATTCTACCAATGAACAACATATACCCATTTTATGAAAATCATAGACAGAGATAAAAGGGAAATCTTTCTCACCATCTCCGTCTTTGTCAAACAAGCCAAAGGCCTCTTTGAAGTCAACAATCTGTTCTTCACTCAGGACATCTGTCATGGTGTATATGTTTTTCAAACTTGAACAAGAGAAAGAGACAGAGAGAAAAGAAGAGAGAAAATGAGGAAGGGAGAGTAATGTGTTGAGTATTGCTAAAGCTTGGCTGGGCTATATGTAGAACTTCAATGAGGCTAGCTAGTCTACCAAGTTTTCTTTAAAAATTCTAATTTAATGAGTCAAATAATGTTTATGACTGCATTTTGTTGCTATAGTTGTGGCTTTATTGTGGAAAAAAGAATCATATTGTAATTGTAATTGTGATGTGGTACAAATGGGGTGGGGGTGGGGCATGATGATTTAAATGCTCTCAATGATTTTTTAATATGTAATTATATTTATTTGATTAATATAATGCGGTGAAAATCTTGACAGCTGGAAGGGTTTGGTGTTTAGGGGACAAAACAAAAAGCCTTAATTCAAACTTGAAGGGTATGGACTAAGGAGTATGGGGAGGTGTGTAGAGTCCTGAGTTTTCATCAATTTCCACCCAAAGACCACGCTGGTTGATTTGCTTGCACAATAAGAGACTCTTATGGGCTTCTTCTGCTATGTGTAATGTGTGTGTGTGGATCACACTGTCAACGCGGTTCAAGAATGAAAAGAAACATACATACGCGTTGTGTTGTACTAAATGGGATGTACGTGTGAAGAATGTGTCCTCAAGACTTGACTCACTCATCGACCTTTCTTTGGTTTCCCCTCTACTTTATGAAGCAATGTCATTTCAATAACATACCCTCATAAAGTCACAATTCTATGCAGAAAATAAAAAATAAAAAAATATTATAAAATGTTAGATATTTTTAGTGAATTAAATAATATTAAAAAACTGTTTTGACAAAATTTCTAGTTGAAATTCATCCCTCCCCACTATGCCATTTCTAAATTTTGAAGATGGAGGAGTTATGTTCCATTGTTTCTAGTCTTGGACTTGGTCTACGTTACTAGTTAACGCGGTTTCTGAAGGACATTGATTTGTTCATTGTTATTTGTGTTATTCTTTGCTACAAGAACTTTTGGCAATTTGTCTGTAGTTTTCGACATTTCACCATGAAAATCTTTGAATAATTCCTTACTAAAGGTGCTAGCCACCTTATGAATTTAACGCAATAATATATGACCCTGAAGCTTAACACCTTTGTAATAAATATATAATTACTGCTCAAAACAGTCTCTTTAAGCTATTTTTATTTTTTTTTAAATAATAGTTATTTTATAATTTTAAAAAAAATATTTTTTCTTTTTATTTTATTCTTAACATAATTATTATTTCAAAAAAAATTATCTTCATTCTCTATTCATTTATTATTATATAAACAAATTCTAAAATTAGTATAATAAAAATTTTCATAATACTTTTAATAAAAATAAGATAATTAAATTTATTTTAATTCTTGTTTCATAATTTTAAACAATATTTTTCAAGAGATAAAAATAATATATTTTTATAATTATTTTTTATGACATCATTCATTGCATTTTTCACTTTCTCTTTTTGATTTTTACTTTACATTTTAAATGTGAGTGTGGGAGTATTGCTTTCCATAAACTAAACAAAAGTGACATTGCTATATCTAAATAAACATGAATTTATAAATAAATAAAACTGGTTGATGGAATAGAATTTCACAAACACTTTACCTTCGGAGGTGTACAAACAAAGTTCTCATTAGGGTGTTTGTATGTGCTAGGAAAAATTCATGAGCTAATTTTATGATCTCAATAATATTTAACTAATAAATAAGTTGATTTAATATTTTGACAAAATATACTAATTTAAACAACATGCATTGGTCCAGGACCAAAGAAGAACATCATGCATTGTCAAGATATAATAGTTCAAAATTTTAAAATTAAAATTAACCAATATTTTACAATATACATTTAAAATAAATTATGTATAGAATTGTAATAATTCAAGTAAGAAAATCTTTATATTACTAATTATTAAAGGGGGACTGGATCACGACTTAAAAATACACTAAATTTAATTATAATTTACTCTGATTAAAGCGGATTATTAGGAGCTTACGAGTGTGATAGCTGTCTGTTGAAAAAAAAAAATCATAGGCATATCTAAGATAGACAATAATAATATTTTTTATCAAAAGGATCTAATGAAGAGGTGCCCGTACCAATGTACCATGCAAGCCTATCTATTGTAGGATTGTCTCATTTTCTTTTTGGCAGTTGACACTTTGAACTATTGGGTCGTGAAAATTAATTATTGATTTTAATAAATATTAATATAAACACATACTATCACTTAATAATATTTAATTGGATTGTTTTTATTGATTATCGATTCTTGTTTCCATTTTCCCTTCGTCCGAGACGGTGATGTCGATGAAATGCATGTGTTTAAGTTTAAACATTATAAAAAAGTTATAATGTGTTTTTAGAATTTGTCTCAGAAGTTATATTTTTAGAATTTTGAAAAAACATCCAAAAAAAATTGAATTTTATTTTTTCAAATAAATCTAAATCTAAAACATTTTTATATAAAAAGAACAAACAATGAAGTCCATAATACCCTAAATGCAATCAAATCACTCTTTTTGGTGTGAAATTACATATTTTAATAGCAAGTAGTAATGCTATAATTTAAGATAAAATATATCCATACCATGAAGTAGATCACCTGGAATAAAATATAATCAGATAATTGTTGATGAAAACAAGTCTATTATTTTAAAAATACATGGATTATTATGAGGTTTACGAAAGTAAAGAATATTAGTTTGTCAATTACTTAAAATCAAGTTAAATATCTTAGTGAATCTTCTTAAACACCATCTCATCATTAAAACATAAAATATATATAGGTTAATTTATATGTTCTGTTCCCTTATAATAAAATTTTACAATTCACGCATTATTTTGAGAAAAATGCATTGATATCTTTTGATAATGATTTTGCATATGTAAGGATAGATATGAGCAAAAGTTTTGTACAAATGAGTGTACATATATGTCTAAAGTTAAATTTGCAAATGAATTCAAAAGATAAGGGATGTGTGTATGTATATTAAAATCTTCAAGAAATGCCATGAAAATTAATTTAATTTCTTATTAATATTAGTATCTACAGAAAAACAAGTTGAGTGCATGAAACTAGCTAATAGAACTGCAAGTTTGGTATATTCAATGTATAGGAATTTAATTATGTTTCCCCAGGCACCATCTTATGGCAACGAAGATAGCACAATATTAACATTAAAAGAGAATGAAAACAACTAAGAGATTCAGATTGAAAAATACCATGATGGTTACACTTGTATTATATATCAGGTGCTACATAACTGGCATGTTTGTTATTGCAATAGCTGGACAATGGCTGTAATATATAAATAATTAGTCTTTCCAGAAGGTAGGAGATCAAATCCTTTAAAAATAAGCCCATACATTTATAGAATAGACCGAATTGACTCATGTATTACATTTTTTTAGGTCTGAAAATATAGATATCTTTCATCAGAAACATTAACATTATATTAACATTTTAGTGAAATTAGCACTCTTAATAATTTCTTTTTCATGCACCATTTATATAAATTGCTAGAATCAACAATGATAACAATTTCAATTTTTTTACTAAAAAAAGTTATAGTAAAATGTGTTCAAAATAATTTTTGAGATCTAGAATCAAACACTTTTAATTGCAATTGCATAATTAGTTTATATTATACAATAAATTTTGCATATTTATAATCTTTAATATTTTGATAATTTTTTAAATTGCATACAACTATTATACACAACAAAATTCTCTCATCCAATATAAGACATAAGCAAATTCAAAACTCGAGACCATTATAATCTTTAATATATAATCTCTTCACTTAATATTTATATTAAATAAATCTTCAAAGAGGGCAAATCACCTCTTCCCATTTTCGACCTCTTGATTGGCCTTCTAGTGAAAAAGCAACACCTCACAAAACAATGACAACTGAGAAAATTATTATTTTTTAAATAATGTGCAAATATTTAATTAGAATGAAAGGAAAGCGCCCCCCCCCAAAAAAAAAACCTTCTTTTGCTCTCATTTGTCCTTTTATTCTTTTTCGTCGTCTAAAAAACTCTTAACAAAGTCATTAAAAAAAAAAAACAATCCTATTCTGGATTTGATTCTTTTTCAGATCTTCAAACTTTTTTAAGCCAAAAGTTAAGCGATTATAATAAAAGTGAAAAAGGCCATAGCTCTCCAAGGGTCCATTTAAAGATGGATCACAATATTTGATTACACTTCACAATGAAATATAAATAAATAAATCCAATATGATTATTGACTATCATTGCCAAAAGATTGATAATTATCATCCGCACAATTAAGCTGTCATCTAAAATATAAGAACTATTTATTTGCTGTAACTATGAATATGAAAAATTGCTAATAATAACATCATTTAAGCCCCAAATTTTCTACTCCGAATTGGGATTAAAAAAAAAGTAAAACTCTTGCATATAGTATTGTCTATCAGAGAATCCAGCATCTGCAGTCTTTAGAAGTCTGGGGGCCTTCAAACCATCTATCCCATAAAGGATTCACAGGACCATTGGTTCTGTCAAACCCAAAAATTCATCTTTTGTAAGAAAAATATACCAAAGATAACATGAGTGCAACATTGATACAAGAAGTTCTAAGAAGAGACTTTACAATGATAGCAAAGGATCGGGTCTTGTCTCCACACTACCGAGCATTCTATCAAGAAAAATAGGACAGAAATTCAAAGTTTAGCTAGTATTGATTATGCATTAAACTAACATTGATTAAGCAAGATAAAATCAAATTTTTTCTCTTAAGTTTACTCTTTGCACGATGTAGATGCTTTTTCCATTCTTTCAAGGTGTTCTAGCTCTTCCTGCATTCATTTGATATGGAATATTAAAACACTTGTAGCACAATGTTCTGAAAGCAATACAAAAATTAATCTATATATCTGAGATATAAATTTTTGCTAGAGTTGCTTCTATACTCAATGGATGAAATGAGCCTGTGATAAATATGGAGTAATCTCAACTAGGTAAGGCCTAGATAGCATATTTGCAAACATGAAACTGTTGTTAGAGAGGACAGTAATATTTGAAACAGCTGTTAACTAAAAATATAGCAGTGGTTCCCTAATCAATATTATGTAATGATGGCAAATAACCAAATGTGCCAAAGGAGGAGGCAACTGAAAGATCTTGGGCAATATTGTTTTGCTCTTTGCATCCATTGATGTTGATGAAAATAACAGTTTCTCTAGTTCTCTTAACATCCAATTGTGATTGTTTAATTGCATATCCTTTACAGAATATAATAGAAGCTCAAGGTGTTAGCAGTGATCTGTTCAGTTTCACAAACCCCCAATTTGGTGTTTCTAGATTTCTTCACACCTAAATTTTAAGGTTTTAGCTAGGCAAGGATGAATGGAGGCAAGAGGGTCTGATAATTTTGATTTAAGGAAAATTAAAATCAAGTTCTCAAAGTGTTATGTTAGAATTCAATTACAAGGTATAAGACTTGAATTTCACATTGGAAGTATAGAATTCTGGTGTGGAATTTATAAAGTATTGAGCTCTCCATCTACAATGGCTAACTTTAATGGTGTGGTTTTCTCAAAGTTCTTATCCATTGGTAATAGAGTCTTATACCATAGTTGCATGTGAGGATGCTGACAATAATACTATCATTGCAGTGTTCATCCCAAGACTAGTTAAAGGGTTCACAAACAGTTAGCACGTGTATGTGTTGGGACTATGGAGCATGGTGGGATTTGTAGGATCTAATTACAAGGTATAAGACTTAAGTCTCACGTTGGAAGCATGGGATTCTAATATGGGATGTATAAACCATTGAACTTTCCAATTATAAGGGCTAGCTTTTGTGGTGTGATTTTCTCAAGGTTCTTAACACATTCCCTCTGATCGCCATTCAATAAAGAGTACATTCTCATAAGTGATCTAAAATGTCTTGGTTTAACCTTTGCCCTTCCTTAAAAGAGGCGGATTCTATAAGATTGGAAGGACTTCGGTGGCAAATCTAAAAGAAAATTTATGCCCCCTAATGCAAATAAATGGAGTTTCGGGTAAACTACAAAATAAAAAGATCCTTTGCTCGAGTTCAGTGTGACATCAATTTGAATCATTTTGATGCCACTTAAATAGTTAGAGGCTTAATTTGATGTCACAAATCATTGGAGGAATAAAATGGTGGTTTGGTAAGGTAAAAAAAAATACTATACAGCGCACATTCAATAAAACAACTACCCCTGTACCTATCAGGAGGCCACCCCTACAATTGAGGTTCATGGACCAAAACATGATGTACCACTGGTATCTGAAACATTAACTTTCCAATTTGTCTGGCTCATCATATTCCACAAACCAAACTCATAACTCGATTATTAACTTATTATCCAATAAGCAGGCAACATGATCAATTCCAAATTTGTTTCGGAGAATATCGAAACAGCAATGAAGAAAAGTTTAAAAACTTTCCCAACCCATTTACCATTTCTCGTATACACGTAGAAGAACAAAATGTTACCAATCAAAAAGCAAAAGGTCAATAATAAAACGACACAGACACAGAACAAACAAAAAATTAAATAAAAGAATCACCCCAACCAATGAACAAAACTCCAAAATACGATGATGAAGCAGGTACCTCTAAGAACCTTGTTTCTTGTTCCAACCGTTTCAGTTCAGCATGTATCCTATGCTTCCCTCTCGTGTCTGCAGAAGACAAAGATTGAACCCTGTGGGTCATGGGCCTCACTGATTCAGCCCCATCCGCTTGCATTTTCTGAAGCTGAACCGGTGGCGATGAAAAATCTCTAGTTTGTACACAGTTGATGACCCAGAAAGCCTATGAAACAGAAGTGATTGAGTGTAAAGACTCCATTTTTGAGGAAAACGAGGATGACTCAGAAATTTCCGTGGACCCCATCAAGTGTTGGCCATGAAAGCAGAAGCAGGGTAGGTTCAGAAAGCAACAGAGCAGAATCTAAGGTTGTACTGAAATCAGAGACAAAGACAGGTCACAAGTGAGTTTGGTGAAGAATAAGAGAGAAAGGTTCAGGTTTATGCGTTGGATGTTCCAAGTTTAAAGTATAATTTCACAGTGAAGCGGAATATGAGTATATATATCTATAAGGTTAAAGAGAAAACTTCGGTTTCAAGCGTGGAAGTTGGAAGAAAGCTGGTTTTCTTTTGAGTCTCTCTCTCTCACTTTCCAACTTCGAGGTTTCTTTCTAGCAGTTTCATGCGGTGACATGTACTGTTTTTAATCTGCTTACTGTCTCTTTTGCAAATATACTCTGTATTCACTCTGTCTGTTTGCAAACAAACATTTACAGTTGTTTTTCATTTTCCTTATTTGTTCTAGACCTTGAAATACCACGAGTTGCAGGGTGTGGCCGTTGTTTTAGTCTTTCGTTTAAACAGTCTTTGAGAACGGATTCATACCAAAATGATATAAGAGGAAAAATTTTAATTTATGGGTTTGGTTTCAATTATGTTAAAGAAATAATTGTTTATTTTTCACCTTTTCAAAGAATATTTTGAAAACAAGACATTATTTTCCTTAAAGTAAAGCTATTCGATATATTTTTAACATAAATGGCTGTAATACAAGAAATAATTGTTTCTATGTTTGACTTTAATAAGGTTCGATCTAGTGTTTTTCTTTTGGAGGAAGGATTTTTCTTTCTTTTGAACATGTTTGACCATTAACATGATGCTAAGACTTGTATGGTTAGTGAATCCCTAAAACATTAATGATGATGATTTTTTGGGATGGTTTTCTTTTTTCTTCAGCAAGAAAAATAATTTCATTCTTTAATTTTAAAAACCTATAAATGCTTCACTTATTTTCTTAAGCTTCATTTACTGTTTTAAACATGTAAAATGATTATTAAATTTCTAAATGTATACAAAATGGTCATTTAAACCGACCTTAACAGAGCCAAAAAAAAAGTTATTCCTAACTTAAGTTTGTATAAAATTTATCGAAATTATTATATATTAATCGGTGATTAGTTTAAGTGATATATTTTATTCTTTAAGTAATGTTTAAAATTAAAATCTTATGTATAAAAAATATTCATTAGAAGAGTTAATTCTAATATGTTATGTAAGTTATTAGACAAACTTTAGTTATTTAGACCTTTTATTCAGATAAATGAATAAATTAATTTAACAGTCCAAAATCGGTAGTAAAAAGATATAAGCTTTTATGAAATAAAAGGTTAATATTTTAAATTGCAAAATGGTCTTTAAGAAATATTCTTATCGCTACTCAAATTCCTTGGTAACATTATGAGTAATACACATAAGACTATACAAAATCTTTGACAACGCCATGAAAAATATATTTACAGCTACATAATTTTTTCTATAGACTGCATTTTTTTTAAATGTTTGTTAAGTTATTAGTATACATTAGTGTTAGAGTCAGTATTAATTTTGGTTGTTCAAAGTAATAACTTTAGTTAATGTACCAAAACAAAAACAAAAAACATGAATGTACCGAAAAAAAAGTAACAAAACAATATCTAAAAAATTCTCCAAGAATGTTAATTTGTTAATAAATTTACCATTTTTAAATAAATTTATCTTTCCTAAAACCAATTTATATAAATAATATGTTTTAGAAACAAAACAATAAAACTTGCCATTTTTAGAGACTGGACTGTGTTCTGACTATTTTATTTAGTTTTTTTCCTAATGGCTGTGTAGCGAATCCACTTTGAAGTTGGTAAAGAATTTAATAAGCCAAGATCTTCAGAAGAAAAAGAATCACATTAATTTAATAACTCAAAGATTACATTAATATAGTTATGTAGGGTAAATTTGTGTCGCCTAAATAGGATATTTAAAGTTTGTGGCATAAAATAAAATATTTTAGCATCTAAATTCCTAAATAAATTAATTTAAAAGTTCAAATTAGGCACTGAAAATCTGCAGTCTGGAATATTTTTTTTTTCTGGTAATTATCTGCAAGCTTTTAAATTAATTTGGTTAGAGTATGGTATTTTTTTAATCGATGGAGTTTGGTAGATTAGGTATTAGGTAAACAATGTCATTTTCCATTTGACTTTCGTGGTAGAAAATCAAATACTCGTGTCTAATTAAAAACACCCATTATCAGCAGAAATGTGAGTCTCTGTAAAATTTATTATTATAACAGTTGAAATTAGAATTGAGCAAGTAATAAAATAAAATTGTAATAAATAAGATTATAATTTTTAAATATATGTATAAATAAAATTGTAATTCTTTAGATAATGCTCACGTATATTAAGATTTTTTCAAGGTTTGCACTAATTTCAGAACAATAAAGATGTAAATGCAATTATTTGTTCCTTTAAGGGGAACATTTGGATTTTCTGAAGTGTAAAAATAAAGCATTCACTTAATCGAGATTTAAATAAAAAATTAAATAATTTATGAATAATTCAGTTAATATCTATAATTAATTACGTGAAAAAAAGTTTAATTTGTAATTTCTAGTATTTTGCTTATAATGTTTTTGAAAAAAAAGTAAATTTTAAAAATGTTACAATACTGTTATTTAAGAAATAATTGAACTATTTTTAGTAAATATATAATTTTTTATTAGAGATTTATTGAAGAATCAATAAATAAAAAAATATTCAAAAATACGTAAAAATATTTTTGTCGTAAAATATTAAATAGGCATATAGGCCCTTCTTAAAGGACTGACACATTAACTGAATGGATTGCGATTGAGAAAACTGAGTGTTACGGGCCATTAATACGAGGCATTTCATGGCAACTACAGACATGTTTTTGACACAAAACAAAGACATGTCTTTGACTTTATGCCCTCCACACTTGTCTTCTCAACTAACAATACCGCCACTACAGCACAGAGAAATTGAAAAACCCCATATTTTTTTGGGACAGCCGCGTCAGGAACAATGAATTAGGAAAGAAATACATTATTAGAAGCAAGAGAAAAATTACAAACAATTTTACTTAGTATTAAGATATTATGGACTTAGGCTAAGAACGACTAAAGTAAGTGATTCATAAGTAAGGAATAATTTTTAAATCATTAAATATATTTTAAAATTTATAAATAATTTAGCTCTTTAACGTATAATTTAATAATCCAAGTTTAAATATATATATATATATATATATATATATATATATTATTTAATATTTTTTTGTAATTTTTTTTAACTTTTAAAATTTATTATTTTGTATCTTCAGTATATGTCATTTTTTATTTTTAAAATTCTATTATCTTTTTTTATTTACACATTTGTGTATCTTGGATCTTCAAACCTTATTTTAAAAAGATATGCACTCATGCATTTTGAATTTATAATAAAATATAATGTTTGAATTAATAGAATGTTAAATGTTATTTTAGATCTTTAGAGCTCCGTACAAACTTTATTTATGAAGTTAATAATTTTTAAAATTAAAACTTCTACACCTACTCTTACCGTCTTAATTTATTATGAAAATGAGATTTTGTATTAATACATTATTTAATATCTTTTTAGATCTTTCTCATATCCTACATAATGGTCACTTTTGCATCGCACAATTTGTATAACATTTTCTTAAGCCAATTTTTCTAACTTAAGCGAAAATTACAGACAACAAAATTAACTCACTAGAAGTAATTTGCTTAAGCGGTACATAAACTGCTTAAGCCATGTAATATAGTACAACATTAGTTTAAGCAACAAATATTAACTTAAGCTAACAAGTGTTGGCTTAAGCAAATTTTGATGAAAAATTTATATTTATCTCTGTCTTTGATTGTTAAAGCGTATAGATGTTGGCTTAAGCGAATTTCAACAAAATTTTCTAATTCATCACTTTCTAAATTTTGCTTAAGTGAATAATGGTGGCTTAAACAAAAATTACAGCAAATGAATTTCCTATGTTCCTTTTGGTTCAACAGAATCTCTTTAGTCATTATCCTTATTCCGATCAAACCAAAGTATTAATTTTTAAGATAATTGAGATGGATATATAATGTTTTTAAATTTACAAAGATCATAGTTAAAAGTATAAAAATCTAAAGGAAGAATGGTTATGTAAGTTTAGAGTAGATTTGAAAAATAAGTCCGCATACTATTAAGAAGGAGGAATTGAAATAGGAGGAGGAATTGAACAAAGCTTATAAAATAATATTCCAAGAGAGGATTACCTAATTTCATTAGATCTCTTACCTTGGATATATTTTTTTAGACTTTTATCAAGTAAAGTTCAACTGTAGCAACTTAATTTATCGTTGAACTTTACCTTGGAAACATAAAAACGAATTATTAAAGTTGCTTTAAAAATAAAGGTGAGAATGAGTTTGAGATAATATGATATAGTTTCACATGAATGAATAATTAGATTATTTCTTAAATGATAATTGTTTTTAAAAAAATTATGTTAAAGAATGACATGTTTTAAATATCTAAGAGATTGAGATTCTTTATCTACAAAATTTATTAGGAATTAAATTTTGAATTTTTAAAACCTGTTATAGTAAGTCATTTTGTTAACTTATTTACGAGTCACTTACTATATTAACTCACCGTAACCTTCACTGATATTATGGCCTAAAAATGGGTGATTCTAGCATTTTCTCTATCTTTTTTGGAAGAAAGGTTTAGGATGACTTATCTAAACGCTTTAAGTTTTGTAATTATTGATTGAATTTTCTTTTAATTGAACAATTAATAATGGATGTGAGAAATCAGGTCTTCCAGTAAGTCTTTTGCTTACTTATTGTTAATTTGTTGAAGGATATATTAATAATTTGTTACACGTCTTTCTCTTCATCTTAGTCTTCTTATAAGTCTTTTTCTTACACTCATACTCCAAATTAACCCAATCAAACATAACTAAACTTCATTTTTTCATTATGATTGTTATTTTCACCCTCGTCATCTTCTAGTGCTCATTCACACTAGAGACTTCATTGCCAAGTAGCTCCG